TACAATTTCAGCAAGGTCCTCATCAACTTCATCAACAACAACATCACAATAGTCAGGTTGAGACAATGCGTGTTCAATATAAATATCAACAGTTTGGTGCACCCTATATAGATCTGCAATTTCTAAAGTACCATTGTCATCAACAAGTCGGTTCATCCCAAATTGAGGGTCCTTGTAAAATATTGTTTCAAACTCCCTATAACCTAAGTCTTTCAATACACCAACTAGCTCAAAATAACTCCATCTGTCTACATCCACCCTCAAATCATCTACTACTCCATTCTTATATACAGTACGACCTTCATCTGTGAACTCACCACTATGATGAATTTTCAGAGTTATGTATTCATCCATGATACCTAATCATACCATGTAAGTAATTAACGTTTAAACTAGCAAATTTATATAAACCCTAAATCTGAACCTCTACCAGAAAACCCTAAATCAGAGAGAAATGAACCAACCTTTTGAGATTGGCTCTTGAATCGTCTTCAATCCTCAATCAAAAAACCAGGTCTTCTTCTTCAATAGTCTTCTTCTTGAATCGTCTTCAATCTTTAATCGTCTTCAATCTTCAAGCGTCTGGTCTTGAATCGTTCCTTCTTCTTCTTGAATCGTTTCTTCAATCTTCAAGCGTTTGCTCTTGAATGTAACACCCTTTTCTATACCCCAAATAAATGCATATAAAACATTTAAGCATATACAAATTCATCAGAGTAAAAGTTTTAGAATAAGGTATAAAAGAAGAATGTCACAACTTCACCAATAAAACACTTTAACATTTTGCTCTATAAAATATGTAACATTTTCAAAAGTAAGCGGAAGATCAAATCCTTTAAGCAGTTCCAAAATATTAATTCAAATGCACATAAGTCTTCCAGATTAATACATCATATCAGTTAGATTACAAAACCACATCACCTGATACATCGCAATGTATCACAAAAGAATGACTATACTAGTCTAACTACCCGGTGTTACATATCAGAGCAGCAGACTCAAAAGAATGAAGACTAATCTTCACAAAAGGACTCCAGCATCCTAATCTGCAATGCCTCATAGAGCATTATAAAACAGCAGAAGGGTGAGAAATATAACCATAATAATCAAAGCATAAGATTACGTATATATAGGTATCATATAACACATATTCACATTTCTCACCACACTTTATTCTCACAATCATAATCATATCACATTCACATATATCAACATTGTGAATAACCACAAGCACATCCCTTCATGCTTGACTTCACAATCATTCACAATCACATATGTACCACAACAATATTATGCAATGTGACTCAACATATTCAATGCAACTCAATGCTATGCGGTACCGACTCTCGTTATCTTTTCTCGGTTTTTACTTTAAACCGGGTCCACCCTTCTAGACCGATAACAACCAAGCCCGTCCCCTAGGCTTCAAACCCACCCTTCTAGGTTTGGGACAAGCCACTAGTTTCCACGAAACTAACAGACATTGCCTCTTGACTGAATGATGCATGTACAATCAACCAATCACAATAAATGCACTTAAGACCGTTCCCGCGTCTTAATCCCATGCATTCGAATAATTCACCCCTTCGAGAATTTCATCATGATTGCACATACAACATATATCAACATTTATCAATGTATTCATTTCACACATCATCATATTCAACAACAATGCACACATATCACATATGTTCCCATGCATTCACACGACAATCGCATACATATATGCACTCACAATTCATTAGACGATACACATACATTCCTCATTGTATTCCCATGTATCTCTAATTATCACAACAATCAAGGTATTCACATTGCAATACCAATCATACAATTATAAGTTACGCACACATATTCAAAATGTTCTCATGCATACTCATTACATAATTGTACACAACAATCAAACATTCACAACTCATCAATTAATGCACACATAATCATCATTATGTTCTCATGTATTTTAACCGATTACAAGTAATCATTTATATCACAACTCTAGGATTCACGCCCGAAGGCTACCCACAGCACATGTTATCATAATAGTTCACATACTTATTCACAACATAAAAGTATTAACATATGCGAATCAACCAACCAATCACCATTTGGATAACACAGCAAAGAAATATACTGTCACATTCGCCTTCATTCGCCTGGCGAACCCTCGCAGCGAACCTTCGCCTGGCCTTCGCCTGGCGAACTCTCTCAGCGAACACTCGCTAGACTTCGCCTGGCGAGACTTCCCAGCGAGCCCAAGTCAGTAGCTACTGACTTCATTCGCCACCACTCGCCAGCACCTTCGCTGGGCGAACCTTCGCTATCCCACTTCGCCTGGCGAACCCACCAGCGAAGTCTACTGGGACTTAAATATAATTATTCGCCAACATTCGCTAGGCTTCGCCTGGCGAGCTTCGCCTTCGCTCGCCTGGCGAGAGCCAGCGAACCTGCGCAGAACAGAACCCCATTCTGTTCCTCCTTCACCAATCCATCATCAACCCTCTCTTACACATCCAAATCAGTACAAACAACATCAATACATGTTACCCGACTATTCTACGGCATTATTGCTCAGTTTCAACCGATTAAATCATCAATTTACCAATTATCCAACATTTGCCCTAATTGGAAAGTGATGAAAACTCTACCAAAACCCTAACCCAACATACATAACATCATACCATGATCAAATAGAAACATTTCTCACCCTTACCTCGATTAATCGGAGCTTTGATGTTGGTTCTTGATGATTTCCACTTTTCCTCTTCTTCTCTTCTCTTTCTTTCCAAATGTTTTTTTAACTTTCTTTTCTTTTCTTTCTCTCTTATATATATTTCCTTCATTTCCTTCCTTCCAATTTCCTTCTCAATTCTCTATTAATCCCAATTAATAAAATTAATTTCCAACATTAATAAAAATCCCACTAAATCAATTAATTACTATAATTAATTATTTAATGAAATTTGGGCTGTTACATTGAACACCAGAATCGTGAGTAATGAACACCAGGATCGTGCCCTCTTGAATCGTCTTCACTTCCACTAAGACACTTCACTTCACTTCCACCTCAGCACTCCACATGGACAAACATGACAATTTTTTCAAAAACAAACTAACAGCAACACACATAAGGATAAACGTGACACCATTTTAAAAGTTAAATGACCAATTTGGCACTTTTTAAAGATAAGGGACCAAAATGGACCCCCGAGCTAAAGTTAAGGGATCAAAAAGGTTATTTTGCCTAATATTAATTATGTTTATCAACATATATTAATATTAATAATATTAATTAATATAAATTAATATTATAATTATATTAATATTAATATTTAAATTGTATTAATATTATTATATATTAATTAATTGTATTAATATTAACATTATTAATATTAATATTATATATATATTAATAATATATATTTTATGAAAAAGAAAACAAAAAAAACCAATTTTAAAAATACAACCCTTTTAATGGGCGACAAATATCATTTTTAATTAGTTCCGCCTTTTCATTAAGCGAAATACTTATGTGCTTAATTTTTTTTTATTGGAAGCTATAGCAGAATAATATAAATGATTAATTTATATAGCATATTAGAAATAACAACTCAATAGTACGACATGTTAAAAAAAAATCACATTTTGTCCCATCTTAAAATCTCCAAAAATGTTTGAAAATTACCAAAATCATGATAAAAAAACACATTGAATCAAAAACTCTTGAGTACTTAATAATTTAGCCTAAAATCTCAAATCATAAATAAAATCAATCCAAATCATACATTATAATAAAAGATTTTATAAAATAAAATAAAATAAAGGGACATGAAATGTGATGATAACGAGAATATCTCATCTCACCCGTTCATGACGCAACACAACAGTGTCATAGAATAATTTATCGCTGTACGCGGTTTGGCAAAAAAAGCAGAAAGACATGAAAGCCCCTATGTGCCTATAAAATGATTCCAACGTTGCTTTTCTTTTCGTGAATCCAATCTAAACCCGAGCCGAAACCCTAAAACCCCCTCTCTTCGCATCGAAACCCTAATTTTCGATTCGTGTTCTTCACCAACCAACACACAACGCACACTATCCCCTTTTTCTTCAGACGCTGGTTTTCTATCATATCCAGGTATTGAATTTTTATCTGCTTATCTCTTTTTTTTTGTTCAAATTGTGATGTCGATATGTTTGTTGGCGCGATTGGGGTAAGAGATCGTGAACTGGGATACGCGTAGATTAGGTTTTTCTGTTTTAAGTTTCCTATTATGTGATATGAAAAATTTGCTGAGTTATGGATCTGATTGGTCGATGGTTGCGAAAATGTTTTGATCTATTCCCCAGATGTTTTAAATTCTCATCTGTTTGTTCAATGTTGAAAATCGTATGTTGGATTATTTATTTGGAAGTTTATGCGATTCAATATTGCCTCTCTATCGATTTTGTCAATTCTTAAATTGGATTGTACTTATGAGGATATTAAGTTTGATTTCGGTTTGAATTTGATGGTGTTGCCGTTTCTGAAGTTACTTATGAGAATATTAAATTGGATTATACCGTTTGAACCGCGTCAATTGTATATGATATTACTTTTTAAGGTTACTTTATTAACTACAAACGTCGATGTCGGCCGAATATGATATTACCCTTATATTTGTTTAGGTTATTTTATGAAATTTTCAATGCCAGTATGTTTTGCTAAAGACTAGTGATAGAATACTTGGTAAATTTTAATTAACTTGTTTTAGTTTTTAGAAAGTATATGTTCATAATATTAACTGTATTAGTGTCTGCGTCACTAATATTTTGCTAGGGCCTGTTATTTAGATTTTGTTGCTGACTGTTATTTATCAATTATTGCATGAATACGTCATAAACCTGTCATTCTACCCTACCCTTCCCCATTCACATGTACAAGTATCTGATCAACTTGTTATTTTTGCAGGGATACTATTGAAAATTCTTGAAAGATTTGACCTTTTTAAATTGCAAGTACAATGTCTTCTTCCTTGGACATGTCACTTGATGATAGAATTAAGAACAGGACTAACAGAGGCAGAGGCAGAGGTCGCGGCAAAGCCCTTTCTGGCCGTGGAAGTGGGACTCTAGGAGGTGGAAGAAGGACTGGTGCTGTTAATGGTAGAAGAATGACTGGTCCTGGTAACGGTGGAAGAGCAACTGGTGCTGTTCGTAGAGGCCCACTTATGGTCAACACTCGCCCATCATCTTATGCTATTGCCAAGGCAAGCTCAAAAATCGTGGATGCTTGCTTATACATGTTCTTGAGATTCTGATATACTATAAATACTCAATTATGAGATGATTCAGTATTATAGAAATTCAAAGAAATTCGAAAGCAAGAGGAACTCCTTTTATTGTTTGTTGCGTGGAGAAGCTCATGCTCGACCAATTCGCATAGTTCCATAGTGTCAATTAATATACATCTATGAGTTGTTTGCTTTTGTTTAGGGGGCATTGCTACAGATCTCTGATATGTGCAGGATTTCATTGGTGGTTCTATTATATTTTCTGAAGGAGCTTCATTAGTTGAGTTTCAAAATGGAGCTCTTACAAGTAGCACAAAAATCTTAGAACTATAAGTGGGGTTTAAAACACTATATCATTATAATCGTTTCATTAAGATGAGGTGACTTTATCATGATAAGCTGGTTTGTGTGGACCGGTGTTTTATTGGATCCTCTTGCTAAGTATGGTTCCATGGTGCGAGAATTCAATAATTTTTCCGTTTCATGGTGTTTTGCAATGTGGAGCTTTTCGCTCAGTATCAGTACCAGAGCTTTGACTTGTAACATTGCAGCTGCTTGAATGCAGTGGGTTGAATTCTTACTCCAATTTGCCATCTTTAACATAGAACACTGACTGTGGGTTTTCATTTGAATATATCACCATGACCGGATCTACTTCATTAATATTGTTATTATTTTAATCTGGGGATTTTCCTGTTCTGATAAATCTTGAAGAAGTAAATAACTTTTTTGGTCATAATCTGACGTGTTCTTCTGCCATTCTGGATACTGTTCTCTTTGCTTTGGCCAGTCTATTCGCAGAACCAAGCCTTTTCCATGGCAGAGTGATTTGATTGAGGATAGTCTTAGAGCTGCTGGAATTCAAGGAGTAGAAGCTGAAACCAAGTTGTATGTTTCCAACTTGGACAGAGGAGTAACCAATGAAGACATAAGGGTATATATTATGTCCTATCATCATATGCTTCATTCTCTTAGCCACTGTTTCTATTCAACCTCTGGAAGTTTTCTTGAAACTTGATTTGCTACTCAGGAGCTTTTCTCTGAGCTTGGAGACTTGAAGCGCTATGCTGTTCATTATGAGAAAAATGGACACCCAACTGTAAGTATTTGATATTGTATTTAAATTCATGCCGTTTTGCTTTGCCTATTCATGATCAAACCAATTTCTACATGTTTTTGAGGTCTTCTTTAAGAGCAGTCTGTTTTACCTTTTAGTTTATAATTTTCAATGAGGTGGTTTTGTTTTTTACATTCCAAGTGTCTGCTCGTATCAGATTCTAGATTCTAGATCCCACAATTCCATTCCATTGTAAGGCTTCCATTAATTGCTTTGAGAAAATGCTTTGGTGGTTGTTGATTTGCCATTCTTGTTGAAATTAAGCACAGCCAATCAGTGTTAATTCTTTGCGACGTTGTGTTTGGGCTAGTTGTTGCCCTTTCTTCAACTTTAACTACACAATATATGTTCTGAAAAGTTGTAAACAGTATTTCTTTATACTTAAGAGCAGTCTGTTTTACCTTTTAGTTTATAATTTTCAATGAAGTGGTTTTGTTTTTTACATTCCAAGTGTCTGCTCGTATCAGATTCTAGATTCTAGATCCCACAATTCCATTCCATTGTAAGGCTTCCATTAATTGCTTTGAGAAAATGCTTTGGTGGTTGTTGTTTTGCCATTCTTTTTGAAATTAAGCACAGCCAATCAGTGTTAATTCTTTGCGACGTTGTGTTTGGGCTAGCTGTTGCCCTTTCTTCAACTTTAACTACACAATATATGTTCCGAAAAGTTGTAAACAGTATTTCTTTATACTTTTGAGCTTTACAACTACACAATTGTAAGGTTTTTAAACCTCTATGTTTCACTATGTAACAGGGATCAGCTGAAGTGGTCTATAATAGAAGAAGTGACGCATTTGCCGCTCTAAAACGATATAACAATGTGCTTTTGGATGGAAAGCCCATGAAAATTGAGATTGTTGGAGCAAAGTCAGAATTGCCTGTCACTGCACGAGTGAATGTCACTGGGATGAATGGACAGAGGAAGAGGACAGTTGTAATGACGTAAGTTGACTAATTTAAGCAATGAGAGGAAACTTTTCTATGATCTGATTCTGCCACTGCCTATACATCTGCTGTCTACTTGGTACATTTATTTGTGACAATATTGCCAATAGCGGAGAGCGGAAAATAGTGGGTTGTTTAAATCATGCTATGCAGAAGTGCTGTTGGTCTGTAGACAGGCATTTGGTGACGTTTTGTACTCAGCAGCAAATTGCAGAACAATAGTGCTTAGTCCAATTCCGGCTAAAGCTATAGTGGCATAGGGCTGCTATACTGGCTATTTATCAACATTGATTTGTGAATGGTGGCAATTGATGTCCATATCCAGACTAGTTGATCAAAATAAGGAGCTAGTGTCAAAAATATTTTTCTTCTAATGGTTCAAAGTTTTGTTGAACTAAGTCTTAATCACTCACTTTTTTGTTTGGTGTGTTGCAGGCCTAGAGGTGGTCGAGGGGGAGGTCCTGCTGTGGTAAATCGTGGTGCTGGGTAAGTATTTTACGTCTATTGTATATTTACTGTATCATTTACTGTATCATGTGTGTATATAAAATATATTAGATAATAATTTTCACAGGTGTCTTAATATACTTACAGATAAAGTGCTTTTTATTATGGATTTGCTTTTCAGTTAAGAGTTAAAAACATTCAAAATCTGGCATTTTTCTAATCTTACATAAAATATGTTAAAGAACATTTGAAAGCTCACGAGTTTCTAAGGGTTAAAAACATTTAAAATCTTGCACTTTTCAAGTGTGTATGATTTTTTAGTTCTGTGCAGATCGCAGTTGAATGTTGGGTTTAGTCTCATTTCACTTCATTTTCATATCCTTATAATGCACATCCATTATTCACAATGAAGTTGCTTACTGATGACCTCTTTAATGTTTGATTTACAGTTGGGGTCGTCGAGGTAGCTCAAGGGGAGGTAGTGGCAGTGGCCGTGGCCGTGGCCGAGGCCGTCCTGGCAGGGGTGGAGGTCGAGGACGTGGAAGAAAGGATGGAGTTGAAAAGTCAGCTGAGCAACTAGACAAGGAACTGGAGACCTATCATGCAGAGGCTATGAACATCTCATGATCTGGCAATCAGCAAGTTTGAGTCAAAATTTGCTATTGGCTTCCTTGTACAGAAGCTGTTTTTCTTTGGCTTTAACTTGAATGCACTTCGCCTTGATGTTAAATATGCCATCGTATTTTGACTGCGTTGAAACTTGTTATGAGCTGTATGATTAATTGGATGATTTTGAAGTTGGCCATATCATATATTATAGTAGTTTTTGCCTATTATTGTTATGTTAATTAATACTTTTATTTAGCTGGAGTTGAAGTAGTGTTCTTAGTTTCGACGATAACCAGATTTTCACTGCTTGGATGCTTGTTACAACTTCTTGAAAGTTGTTTCTGTTACTAAAATCAGTACACACTCTTTCCATCTAGAAATGTCAATGGGCGTGGGGTGCAATAAGTTGCCGTGAATGAATGTGTAACAGATTGCCCCTTGGGAAGTCTGTTTTCTTCAGAGTTAGTTTTGTTAGACGATGACACGGATCTAGAAGGGGTTGAATAGATTTCAATTAAAAAATCAGTTGGTGCTACTAGTTAAAATTTAGTTTTAAAAATATTTAATTTGCGGAAGCGGCGGAACTGTTATTAGAAGATTGGATATGTGTCTAGCCTTATGAAAATGATAATGAACAAATAGAATCACTAACTTCCTTGTACAATACAATGCTAACTTGCAAAAATGAAAGTGCTGAAAAGTAAAGGAGACAAAGATTTGTTGAGACAGTTCCCCCGCCGTTGTTGATGATGCTTTATCTCCTTGTTCCTCGATTCATGTTGTACAACCCCTTTGTTGAATAACGTTCTTTAAACTCCGGCCCGGCTGATCTCAAACCCCAACAAATCGAGCCCGAACCTCTCCTACGTAATTCACCGATTGCTGCTACTAGATTGATCGAATCCACCGTTACTAGATTGATCGAATCCACCGTTCCTCAATCACCTTCGCTCAGCTGAATCTTGTAGAGACGATTCGTATAAAAAATCCCCAAATTCGACGAATCTTGGAAGGCAAAACCTTCAAGGTTTTATTCAAGAAAAACCTACCCCAAGCTCAACTCGAACCTAATCGACGGCTTCAGACCTTATCACTTTGAACATACCACAATGCACAACAAAAATTGTTTTGTGAAATGTTGAGGATGAAGATGAAGAGAACTAGGACACCTATTTCACTTTTCTTGTTCTTGTTCAATTGACTTAATGTTTTCAATTGTTGATGAGAAAAGAACAGAAAACTACTATATATAGTAACCAATAACCAACAGACTTAACCACTTTTCAAACAAAGTGGAAAGTCTTCAGCAACAGGATAAACGAGCGAACGGTCGACCATAGTCCTGTCGACGCATAGCCTGCAGTTTTTAAGCAGATTCAAAATCTTAACAGCATGCGTCGACCATAGGTCAGCGTGCGCTGGCCCGTGGGAAATTGCACTACTCCATGAGCTGACCATGCGTCGACCTGTGGTCGACTCAAAGCCTGCAGATTTGCCCAAATGCTTGTTTTTGTAGATTTTGTGCTTCTAGGCATGACCAATGATCTTCCACCTATATTGAATCTTAATATGGCAAGTTAGATAGACATAAGAAGGATATGAGAGATGTGATATGCATTTGCCTTGTGGTGGTAGAGTCGAAATACCGATTCATCCATGATTGCGTTTTGTCATTATCGAAACCCGTATGTATGGTACATGAGGATTTGCCCTCACAAGTTTTTCTCATGTTGGGTCATTAATATTCAAATGTCATATTTTTACCCTAATTATCTCAGCATATCTCTCAATCTCTTCATTATTCATTATTTGTTTATGAGTGAGGTTTTATCTAATATTTGTCATCAAGAGTCTGGTTCTTTGATCAAACAATTATTGTGGGATAATGTTTTTTTATCTCCAATGAATGTATTTCTACTAATCTCCTAATTCTTGATGTGAAGAATTATGACAAATAGCGCAATCAGATGATATTGTTGTTTGGTTGTCAAGATGTTCTTGAAGTGATAATGTTAATCCACTTGTAAACTATTGCAATGGCTGTAAAAAGAATGTTGTTGATTGCACATCCTTAAAGAATGCTTAGAAATTTTTGGGAGAAGAGTTGTGTAGGAGTTGATAAGACAAAAGTGGTGGATTACAAACTTACAAATAACTGGAATTAATTTAAATGGAGGAGAAAAATCATTAGTGAATTTATTTTAAGAATCACAAGATTGGTGAATCAACTAAAAGTGTGTGGAGAGACAATCACTGAGTAGTATGTGGTTGGTAAAATTTTAAGATCATTGGCGTCAAGATTCGATAATATAGTGGTTGCTCTTGAAGAGTGTAAAGATCTTTCAACTATGAGCAAAGAGTTGCAAAGTTCTCTTGAGACTCATGAGTAGAGAATGGAGGAGAGGAATGTTGACAAAGTAAAGGTTGAGATTGCTTTGCAAGTTCATTTTGTTGGAAAGGACAAGAAAGTGAAGGGAAAGTGGGCCATAAGTAGAGGTAAAAGAAATTGCCACAACAATGATGGGAGAGACTCACAAAATTTTAATAACTTAAGATTTCAAAAGGGTGAAAGAAGCGACAAAAAAGGTGGTGGATAAAGCAATTACAAAGGTGGTACCAATAGAGGAAGAGGAGGAAAATGGATAAGAGCAACGTTCAATGTTAATAACTTAAGATTTCAAAGGTGGTATCAAAAGGGTGATAAGAGCAACGTTCAATGTTATAATTGTCAAAAGCTTGGTCATTTTGCTTACGAATGTCATGCCAACAAGAATGACCCATAAGAATTTGAAGCAAAGTTTGCAAGGCAAGAAGATGACGAGATTGATGGTGATTGCTGAAGCAGAAAACTGCAGCCAAAATCGGGTACAATCGCTTGAAAACGTGATCAAGAGAGATTTGTACATGATGTAGTGCCAACCTATATGCCTTAAGAAAATAGATTCGTTGAGAGGAAGAGTCGATCGATTACGAATATGGTGGGAAGCTTGTTGAAAAGGATGAACTTACCAAAATAATTACGAGTGGAAACAATGTCCTCAACTGCACATTTGTTGGATAGATGTCCAACAAAGAAGCTGAAAAATATTACACCCGAAGAATTTTGGTCTAGATTCAAGCCAAACATGAGTCGCTTGTAGGTATTTAGTTCGATAGCGTTTATACATGTTTCAGATCAACTTAGAAAGAAGATATATGACAAGGGAGAACAAATGATACTTGTTGGATATCACTCTACCGGTGCCTACAAACTCTATGACACACTCATCAAAAGAATTGTAATTAGTAGGAACATGATTTTTGATGAAATGAAGGACTGACAACACGTAAAGTTTAATTCAAATGGTGTTGGAACCATTTCCATAGTGTTTGAAAATGCATAAAATGTATCAAATGAAGTTCAAATTAAAGAAAATGCGAGAAGTTCAACAAGGCGAAGATACATGTCTGCAAGACTACAAATTATGAGCTGTTACTGGATATTGAAGTAAACGACAATGGTGATCTTGTCCATTTTGCGCTCATGGTTGAATTAGAACCCATGAAAATAGAGGAGGCCCTGAGTAATCCATAGGGGATAAGTGCAATAAAGGTGGATCAGGAGTCAATTGAGAAAAACAAGACATGGAAACTAGTTGATATACCAGAAGAAAATAAGTCAGTTGGTGTAAGATGAGTGTACAAAGTGAAGGCAAATTTCAAGGGTGGGATAATTAAGCATAAGACTCGATTAGTTGCAAAATCATTTTTGAGAAGAGAAGGTATAGACTTTGAAGAAGTATTTGCACTAATGGCTAAAATTGAAATCATCAAGCTAGTTGTTGATATTACAAATAACAACAATTGGTTCATCTACCAATTGGATGTTAAATCTACGTTTTTGAACGGACCTTTGTAAGAGGAGGTTTATGTGGCACAACCACCTAATTTTGTTGTTAAAACAAAGGAATCAAAGTTATATAGACTGAAGAAGGCATTGCATGGGTTGAAGCAAGCACCAATGATTTGGAACAAACGAATTAGTAGGTTTCTAAAGGAGATATGATTTGATAAATTCATATATGAACATGGTGTTATGTGAAGAAGAATGTAAGTAAGAAGTGATTCTCCTATGTCTCTATGTTGACGATTTATTGACTACAGGCAACAATGAAGGTTACATTATCGAGTTTAAAGGTGATTTAATAAAGGAGTTTAAAATGACCGTCCTTGGTCTCATGACATATTTCCTCGACATTGAGTTTCAGAAGTCTGAAAAGGGATTTCTCATGCATCAAATGAGGCATCCTCTTGAGATATTGAAGAAGTTCGAAATGGAGCATTGTAATGTTGAAATTACCCATGCAGAGCCAAAATTGTAGCTATTAAAGAATGGATACGAGAAAGATATTAATCCAACGCAGTACAGGAGGCTGATTGGATCACTGAGGTACTTGTGCAATACGATACCAAACTTGGCATTTAGTTCTGGCATGTCAAGTAGATTTATGGGGAAGCCAAAGGCATCACACTTGGCAAAAGTCAAGAGAATTCTGAGATGCGTCAAAGGTTCGATTGACTGCGGAATTCTGTTTCCTGCAATGGATAAAGGTAGAAGCTACAAATTTCTAGGTTATGCCGACTCAAACTAGTGCGGAGATGAAAATGATAAAAATTCCACTGCTGGATACACCTTTATGTACGGAGAAACAAAAATCTCTTGATGCTCTAAGAAGAAACCAATTGTGGAGCTCTCTTCTTGCTAGGTCGAGTACATTGTTGCATTTATTTGTGTGTGTCAAGTTGTATGGTTGATGAATTTGATGAAGGAGTTGTGCAATGAAGATTATGAAGTTGTGAATTTGATAATAGACAATGTTTTCGCTATAAACCTTGCTAAGAATACCATTGCACATGGGATAAGCAAGCATATAGAGATGATATTTCACTACTTGAAAGAGTTTGTAAGTGAAGGAGAATTGAAGTTGGGGTATTTCAAAAGTGAATACCAGGACAACTTTATAACCAAAGGAGTAACA